ACTAACGGAAACGGATTAAACGAAAGAAGAATGCCTTTGAATACTGACAAACTAAAAGGGACAAGGTAAAAAATCGAATCAATAAACGAACCTCCAATATTTAATGCAACTGGGGTTACAATAAAGGGTAGATCACCCATAATCGTATTAACTTTTACTGCAAAATTATACTACTTTCAGTAATTTAACCGACGGCTACGTCTCTTTAAAACTTTTTGTTACTCTGCACTCAGTCAAATTGGACTTCTTTTCGTTTCCAACTTGAAATTAAAACAAAAACTGATCCCTTCCGCCGTCTACCACCTTAATGCCAAATAATTACACAACATCAAAATACAGCCATACATTACAATTTTGATCATTTGTCGATTTCAAGCATCGTCTACAGCCGGCAAGCAAATAAAACTTAGATTCATTGAAACAGATCCAGTTTCCAAAATTTTTGGAAACCATGCGTGTGCTCTTGTATTAACATCAACAATACCCTTAATTGGCAAACCATTTGAACACGGAAGTAGAACATCAGTTTCCTCTGTACACAACAAGCGACAATCTATAATAGTTTACATATTTGACTCCGTTAGAAAACTTGCGTTATTTAACATTGAACTGAAAAATTGAAAAACTGGACTAACTTCTCCTAACCGAGTCCGTACACGAATATTATTTATAATAGAAAAATGTTGTCTCTATAATATCAAATAGATATAAAATAATTAGATCGAATCATTCAGAAATATCGCTAATTTTTTGGTACAAACAACTGAAAAATTCACTAATCAACACTCTTGAAGCATACGATCTGTATTGAAAATACATATTAACTTATTTATAAGACATCTAAACTACTGTCTAGTCGTCCAACCTTGAAAATACTGATTTGCCTTCTACTTAGGTTCGAAGAGAGAGAAATTGGTTCATTTAAATTGAAGCCGAGCTCTCTTACTGAAAGTACGGGTTTGCGTAATCCAATGATATAAGTTGATTGGGAGAGTATTAATTGTACACCGAAGGGATCTAAGCGTATGTTTAAAAGCATAATCTCTTGAACAAAATAGTACTTCTTTACTGAGTAACTGGAACTGGCTTAGATATCCACGTTCGATTTTTTCGGTTAACAGAATTGTGAAGATTCGTACGGCTTGAAACTGAATTTATTTGAACGATAACAGTTTTTCGTTTTTTACCTGAGCTCTCTCACGGCCCACAACCGAATGCTCTTTTCTCTGGATCCGCCTTTGCTCATTTTCACTTAGAGCACTCACAACATGACGCTAATTAGTAAAAGCGACCATCTTTAGTCATAAACGAATCGGATCAGTTTAACCCGACCAATCATCTGCGCCTGAGGTCCATTTATTAAATCCACGGCTTATTAATTTTGCAAATGCATAGACTCGAAGTAAGACTATTCGTCGTAATTCTGACTTGCCTTGGCCACACATACCCCGTTAAGCTAGTCCACTCTCCACGTCTGACAGACTGCCGCCATTAACTTCTTTAAGCCATTAAACGATCATCGTGCACACGTTAACTATTGAGCCATAAAATAAAGATCCCCAATTTTTTAAAAACCTACGACTAATTAATACAATTTGGTTCGAAATTGACCATTTAATGGAAACACCCTGTATACTCCCCAATACTCAATACTTGAAAGTGCTCAGCGGACATTCAAAAAATTCAATCCCATTAAATGGCTCCCGTTACATCAGGATTGACGAACGCATTTTGCACCACTCAGTAATTTATCATGAAATATGTTTATTTCACTGGCGATGAGCATGTAGATTTTCCCACAGAAATAACATTCAAGCATAAACACTAAGTAATGCGTAAGGGTGCAGTTCAAAACAGACACAACATGCGTTTCGAGTTGTGGCCTTCTTAAACTCAATACCACGTGATATGGTTATTTTTACAAGTCCCATAACGCGATAGTCCCTTTATGGGTGTGGAAGATTTATCGGTTCAATGAGCGTCTTCCACCTTTGACCCTAGAAGTTATACAGCATACACACAACATGTAGAGAATAAATAATAAATAGTAAACTCAGGCAAGTTCTCAATTTTCTATGCTCCATATATAAGTTTACGTAATTTTCCTAATATGAAAAGACGATTATTTTTCCTTTGGGTTTTTTATAGATTTTTTTATTTTTTTTATTATATTATTTTTTTTTATTTGGACTATCGATGACATAATGTCGAAATCGATAGCTCAAAAGAAAAATACAAAAAAATTTCTTTAAACATGCACCGATTTTGATGATATTTTTACGAGCGTTCCTTTAAACGATTTCGCATCGATACTGAGAAATCTATACCTACATCAAAAATGTCACGGAGCGGCTGTGGAGCATCGTCGGCGAGGTGGGCGACCGCGGTTAAAAATTCGCCGCTTCCATACGGTTCAAGGTTTGGCGTTGCCGTCCGGCTCAGGGGGGTTCCGATAATTGGTCCAAGGTTTGACGAGGTTGAAAAATTCTTCCGGACATCTTCAGAGTATCTGCCGTAAGAAGCTACAAAATCAAAAATTTTGGAAAAAATTTGTAGCTCAAAAACGGTACCGGAAGTGCGATTAAAAGTGACACTCCGGTCTGGAAACCGCGCGCCCTGAACGCCCCTAGCCAAATTGAGGTTTTTCGCAGTTTCCAACTTTTGAAGCCTTCTACAGTCTAAACCGTTATAGATAGAGCAAAACGTAAAATTGCGCAATTGTATAGATCTCGACGAAATCTACAAATTGAGTTGAGGGGCCACGGTTGAATCTCCCCCCCCCCCCTCCGGTAGTGAGTGGGAGGGGAAAAAGGCGCGTTTTGGAATGGCACCGACGGGGGAAAAGATTGGAGGATGGTACCGTTGTACGTACCTGCGGGGGAGTTTTTACTTTCCTTTCAGTTACATTCTATATAAACTGAGTGCATACTACAGGTTAAGGATAAGAACGTGAGGCGCCCGTCGCTGATTCCATTTAGGAAATCATATAGGAACTAAATATCCCGAGTCAGGCGCTTTTAAAACTTCAGGAGTAAATTTAAGTAGTAAGGCCGTAAGGTTAAGTTAGGTAGGTACCTAAAGAATCACTAAATTTTATAGCATCGGAAAATTGATATTTGATAGAAAAGAGATAATTGGTTGCTCAAGCAATCGTGCTCTTTTGTAGTTACGAGCCATGCATAGAAATTCTGAATGCACGTATTTATCTCACAGTAGCCTGTTGTAGTAAGCAACAAGGCCCACATAAAATATGCAAGAGGAAATAATGTTACACAGTGGTTTTGGGCGCTTTAGTACTAAAGTCAGGTAGGCATAAAATAAAGATCGGTGCTTGGGGTGCAAAAATATACCATGACTTATTCTGTTCAGAGCTTTATATGTATTAAATCACTGAAGGTATAAATCAGTACAAACCAATTCGAAAAGTAAATTTTATAAATTAAATGTTTTCACTTCAAACAATATACTACTAAAACAATTGCGTGTTTCAATAAGATACAGCCTGCGAATGAGAAATGGGATAGAGAGAGCTTTCTACGCCCGAATGAACGGATTGTATGTGATTGGACGTCAGTGTCGGATATCATTTTTGGATGAGTGAACTGTGAGTGTGGCTGAAAGTTGATAGAACGTAGGTTTGCATTCCTCCGACAGTTAATTACACCAAGAGGGCGCAAAGCGGCGGCGACGGATCACTGAAAACAATAATGAAGCCAGAAATAAAATTGATCATTCGGAAGTATTCCGTCTACCTATAACTCGATAACTCCACTCAACTATTGACGCCCATTCAGTTTTATTCGCGGTAATGGAAAAATCGTTTCGTCGATGTGGTATTTACTAAAATTTCTCATTTAGGTATCGCCGAGGGGAAAGGGAAATTTGCATAGTTATTCAGCTGCAATTATTTCTGCATAAATTAGAATCAAAGGCAACCTCTATTAATTCGTTCCGCGTTGCAACCTGTAAATTATTCCATTATCTTCTCTGCGGATTATCTATATAATTATGTTTTTACGTGTGAGAAGCTCGTCAGAATATGAGAGCAAATTCCCCCTCATCGCAATTCCCGTCACGAGCTAACGGATCTTTGTTATTTGCTCAATTTTAAAACTAAAATTAGTTAACCTCTCGGCGAGCAGGTGACGCCTGTCTAAAGTCGTTACCAACATAGTAGGAAAGAAAGTTAGTGTCACCAATATCGAGAGAAAAAAAGTAATATAACAGTATATATGACAAATCAAATAAGCTTTTGCCTGCAAATCAATACGAAGACGGTGAAAGGGATCGTTGTATTTTGTACGGTGAATTGTCGTCCCTATAGCCGTATCGAATGGATATCGGGCACCATCCATCATCAGCCTGAATAGCTTGCGGGTTTGTAATATACGAGAGCGAGTGTATCACACCTGATGCTCTATCGACCGGGCTTAATTCATCAAGTCTTTCTGCATTGGTCTTCTCTTTATCTGTATCCAAAAAAAATCTTAGTGTAGGGTGTAAACCGGAACCATAATTCAACATCCACCGGAATTAGCAGACTCATCTGGAGCAATATAGTATCTTTTTACAGTCGAATTCGATACTTCGAACCACGAAGCTTTTTCCGCGAGCATTGAGTTAGCTGTGTAATTTATGGGCTCAGCTTCAGTAGCTTCGGCTCTCGACTGAGGTTAGGCTGCTGCAAATTAAAGAGGATTTTTCAACGAACCGATTGAATCTACTCGTCAACTTGATTTATAATACCCCGCCGAGGTAAGATACCGTTACTATTGAAGTGGCACCGTGATTTGGTCTCCGCTGCCATTTTTGAGATTGAATTTATGGGATTTTCTCACATGCACGTTCATCTTTAATTGCGACAAAGCATAAGATTCGCGTTTTTATTGTCGCAACTTGAGAAGTTAGTTTTATCGGAAATGCATGGGAAAAACAACTCGAAGAATTTATACTCTCGCGGTCATTGAAAATACCGAAATCAATAGCGTTTTAAAACTCACCTGGCACTTGGGGTATTGCTCGTCTGGAGGTCGTTCCACCTTCCAACCAAGTAAGGGTGGAATACAAATAAGGGCTGATACAACCCACACAATGGCGATCATCATCACAGCACGTCCTGGAGTTCGTTTTTTCAAATATTCGACGGCTTGAGTAATACTCCAATATCGGTCGAGCGAGATGAGGCATAAGTTCATTATGGATGCCGTACTCAGAAGCACGTCCATAGCCGAATGCACGTCGCACCACCAAGATCCAAAAATCCAATAACCCATTAGCTCGTTGGCTAACGAGAACGGCATAATCACAAGGCCTAAGAAAAAGTCGGCCACCGCCAACGACGCAATAAACCAATTTTGAATGTTTTTTAACGCCTTTTCCGTCGTAATCGCAATAATAACAAGCATGTTTCCTACCACTACCACAATCATAAGAACAGTGACTACAATAGACGCCACCACTATCTGCGGCAGGGTGTACCCGCTCGGATAGTGCGGTAAATTAACACTGCCATTTAGAAAACTACCGTTTCCGGTGACATTTTCCTGCAAGAGTAACTCCTCGACGGTAACGGCCGTGCGTGCTGTTATGTTGGTCAGAGCCATCGCCGCCAAAGAAGGGTGAATAATGGAAGAATCGTCGATTAGAATACGTTATTTGTGATTGGTCCCTAGTCACACTATTTACAGTACCCGTTTTAATCCGAAGCAGCCCGTATCGGCGATTAATGAGAAACGTAAAGTACCAAAGAATCAAGCTATTTTACACTAGCTAGTTTAGAATATTATTAAAGAAACGCGCCACCGCGGTGGCCACTTTGGGCAGCGGCGTCTTCGTCGTCGTCCTCGGCGGCGCTTTCCACTCGAAGCTCGCTGGGCATGTTACCGCCTCGCTCCACAACCGCACACTGTATGAACCTCTCCTACTGACGGGCATGCGTCGCGACGCTCTCTCGCGCTTCTGTTTGGCCTCCTTATAATTACAACCGTCTATTTTGAAAAATTACACAGAAGAATAGTAATCGTCGTTCTTATTTCGCCTCGTAGCTGAAACCCTCCCACCCCCAACTCGCATTTTAATTAAGAATTTCACAAGAACCTCCCCGTCATCACACCGTCGATAACGAATAAAAAATTCTCGACTTTATTGCCCGTTAGTTTTTAAAGTGGATTTAATCTACTGAAGTACCGATGTGAGCATTATAAGCGTCAAGAAGGGAGCGCTCCGTGCGGCGCTTGCGACGACCTATCCCAATGACGTCGATACGCGTCTCTGACGTCAGATTACCTCAGATCACAGTTGCAGCTTCAAAATAGGGCACTAAGTCAACGACGCACCGCTTTTTCCTAACTGTATTTTTGTTGGTGTCAAAGTGGTTACGGTATTTAATGGAAGTACTCCTAATGGGGTGTAATTACGGCGAGCACATTCATGTTATTGTATTCAAAGGACCCCAAATTTGACTGAACCGCACATGTATTCTGCGTCCACAACAAAAACGGCCGCTGTAGAATAAAACGATTATAATTAGCGAAATTGCACAAATTTGCCATACGTAAATTGTGTGTAGAATACGTATAAAGTCAGACGTAAACATAACTTATCTTTAGATCGTCTTTTATTGAACAGCTTTTAAGCTGTCAATCCTCGGATGCTTGTTGATGTGAAGGATGCGATTATAGAATATTGGAAAGGATTTGTTTTATTGGGGTTGAGCGAGCTTTTTTTCGCCGAAACATTGTACGTTGTTGCATTCGATGTACCTATACATTTATCATTATTTGTTGTATCGAATCCGAAACGTCATCTGCCACGCGAGCTGTTTACAAACGTACCACTGAGCTTCCAGATGACATAAAAGGAATGTAGACGCTATACTTTTACCTTTTCTATAGCACTACGTTCACGTCCGTACCATTAACCAAAGCATCCTTCTAGTGGTGGGTAGGTGCGTGAACGGCACCGTAGGGGAAAAAGCGTGATGATTATTCAAATGTTTGTTTCGTGGAAAGCGTGGTTTAATTGTATCGACGGGAACGAAATGAAGTCATGCATTGTATGGAATTTAATTTCACTTTTTTTAGGAATGAATGCGGTTGTGGGCGTACCAAACCCTTTATATCTTTAATCTACAACGAAACGATCTATGTATACAATTATAGCAAAATAACATATACATTTTATAACTCCCTGCTTCCAAATACGAATCGTTTCCACATTTTCACGCGATACTATTGGCTCGGCTGTGATCAAGACGCAAATTTTTAATCTCTCGGGCTGCGACGTTTCGTCCGAATTTAATTCCAAATCGGCTAATGTTGTGCAAAGTTCTAACTCCGCGGACTTCAACGCGAATAAATCTTTTTCCGATTTTTTTTTCAGAAATCATTTCCTAGCCTTATTTGCACTTTTGAACACCCGTATGTAACATTCCGTTGATATCAGAACATAATATTGGAAAAGGCCAAAATACTTAGGGAAGCAGTTAGAAAATGTTGAAGGTGTAGATCCTTTGTGGTGATCGGTGCAGGTATCCAGTTTACAAAAAAACAGAACTACATTGGGAAGTAAGTGCATCGACTAATTTGATTCTTGTCACTCCCTAATTCTCACCTTTAGACAGAGGAGCTACCCGGAAGTCAACTTTTATGTCTTTACTTAACATCCTAGGAGTTCAATCATACGTTGGTTTTCTGTTACCAGCTGGCTTCTAGGCTAATATATGAAGGGAAAGGTATCGCCACATTAGAAATTTGTGTGTAGAGTGCAAATATGTTCTCAATTAAGTGTAAATCAGGGTGTAAATATAATGTGAATCAAAAATTCTTCCTCAGTTCGCATCTGGTCGTCTATTGAGAACGAATCGGTTAGACTCTGACGATCTTTCCGCCCTTTGAGAGTACTCTTCTCCGACACTCCGTTCTGCAGATATATTTGCAATGAAAGTTTTGACCTCACTAATAGGTTGTAAGGCCCTTGTCCTTGAATTGCTTCGGAACAAAAGTGGTCAGTAACTGTTCCCGTTTGTTCACAGAGGAAATGCCAGGGTTCGCTGTTTAGTCAGAATTCCAAATGATTATACCACAGATGGATTTATTAAAAAAAACTATAAAAACAAAAGTATTTGATTTCTTAAAAATTAATTAAATAAATTAAAACGTCTTCTCTTGAACGCGACCCAACGAAGGTGGTCGCGTCTATTCTGTGGTAACTCGTAACTAACGCCGGCGTGGTAGTTGACCCTGGATTTGACATAAATTTGTGAGTACCCTCCTCCGACAATCTGTTCCTGAGATGTAATATCCGGTCACGGTAAGGGGTCAAGGAGGAGGGGGACTATGGTTGGTATAAATTAATTCCTTTCGTTCAGACCTTTCATTAGTGACCCATGAAGGATAAAACCAGCCCCCCCCCCCTCCTCTCAAACCCCCGATTTTGATCCAAGATTTGAAAAAAAAACCGTAGTTGGTAGAGAACAATTCCTTTTATTGAGACCTTTAATTAGAATACAATGAGAGATCAAATTAATTTCTGCACCCCTCCTTCCGCCACCTACTCATCTCGAAAAAAAATCTCGCGGAAAATTTAAACCGCTAACGGCATGTGTATGCAAAATCCGAAACCAACTGTTTGTCGCATGTAAAAGTTATGCACCTTCCGCTTTCAAAAACAGCATCTCAGGAAATAATTCATGGGGAGTGGAGGGGGGCTCTACAGACAGTGGAATTTGGTGAGGGGTCATTTTTTATCCCTTTACTAACCTGCGGCTGGCGAAGACTAGGGCAAAAAATTGACCAACCGGCAGACGAACGGATGGTTTCATAGCTAGCTTGGTCCTCTTCTAGCGGCTGCCGAGGTCGTGGCGTGTCTAATAGTTTAGTGAGCCGTAAACACCATTCCTGGCGCTTTTAGCGAGTCTTTTACCCACCGACTAAGTGTTTGTTTTAAAACTGTTTGATGTGGTTTCCTGAAGGTGATCCAAAGCGCTTCGGAACCTGAAGGGCGAAGCGGTTCAGTGAGTTCCGCATATATTGCTTGACCAAGGAAGCCACACAAAGATTTGGCCTAGGCGCAAAAAAAATGTTCAGCTCAAACAAGGTTGACCTCTAATCGGTACTGAGATCTTAACCTTACCTGGAAGAAGAATGGTCAAGTCGGTCTCGCTCGTTTGATGACCGATAAATTGTGAATTCTTTGGCCTATAGCCAAGGCTGGAAGAGTAACTACTTTTCTCGATATTCTGTTCAAAGTAGAGCCGTTTGGTTGGTAAGTACTTTCTGAGACTTATAAATCGCGTCGTATTAGGATCGTCGACAGAATATTCCCTTAAAAAACTGCTTTTGGATCTTTCCCGATGTCAAATGGAGATATTAGCGAAAGAGCGGCGCGGTGTGAGTTGAAGCTGCTATAATGGTTGCCTCTAAAGGATTTTGAAAGAAATTTAGGATGTCTGGCACTGATACTTCATATGATAACAAAATGTTTTCCTGCAAAGGTCCACCACTGTTTGTTGTGTGGTACTCTGATAACCGTGCTGCTACCAAGGCAAGCTCATGGCACAGGGAATGTCTTCTGTCGCTGTAAGGACAAAGAAAGGGATTAATATTTAAACCCAAACATAAAGGTTGCCCTAGTACACCTCCAAAGAAGCACTACGACAATATTTGAAACCTGGTCAGTAACAATTTTCTGCAGTGTTCGTGGAATTAGGGCAAATGGCGGAAAAGTAAAGTTTTTTTCAGTTTTAGGAGAATTCGGGGGAGAATGCATCCACCACCTCCGTTCCTGGGTCTTTAGGTAAACCAGAAAATACACCGATCACATTTTGAGTTATAACCAGACGGAAACAGATAAATTTAATATGTAAGGACCATTCGCACCTCCATATACAGTATGGGGCCTTATGGACTAAATGCATCGCTTACTAATTTGCGTTATTCTCCGATAACTCTTTGTGCCTCACCGCAAAGATGCTAAACTGACATATGGTTGAATTGAATTAAAACACAACATAATCTCCTTCACATTGTCACGTTTGTTAATAAGTTCGGCAACCATGTACTGTGTGTCCATAAGCACCATACATCTGGAGGTGCGAACGCCCTATAGTTAAATTATTTATATTTAACGTTAGATGCTGAATGCTACCCATCTTATTTACGTAAGCTAAAGCGGTGATATTGTCCGCCCTAACTAAAAGATATTATTATGTCTCTTTAGTAATCGGATGTTTCAATATATTGTGCAACTTATTCGTGCAGTAACAGAAACATCAACAGATTATGTTGCACTGTATTATAAACGTGTCGTATGGCGATAATATGCAAAGTTCATTAAGTAAGCCTGTTGTGGTTTTAATTCATTTTTAACCCGGCTTCTTCTTTTTAAAAGTAAATCGTTAAAACAGCTTTGAAAATCATGATGACCCAATGATGTCGTGATATGATGAGTCCTTGAAGTATCATTTCATTAGGATTTTTTGAAAGAAATTTGTGGCGCTTCCATTGTTCTCCAGTTTTCGTGTCTAAACAATATAAATTTTGGTAAAAAAGAAGAACCCAACTCGCGAAGCATGCCAGTCATTTTCAAATAAATATTCGCTATCAAAATCTTATTAGAAGTTCCATTAGAGGTAGGTATATCTGGCGATACGTGTTACGCTACCGTAGTTGCAACCTAGTTATTGGTCTATTGAGTTATGCGAATACACCTCATTCAATTACAAGAACTTCAAAGGTCTTCTAGAGTTTTAATTGCTGCAATCGCACCTGATAGGGCGGATGAGATTAGTCAAATTACTTGTTTGCAACATCACTTTTTTGGCGTCAGCGCAGTTACTAATTAAAATTGATCACTGTAAAAAAATGAAGAATTTTGAATTGTGAGAAGTAATCAT